GAAGAGCATGAGTTCTTTGCCGAGCTGAATGCGCACTTTCGTCTGGTTTGGTCTGAGATATCAAAAAAGTACTCCAGAGTGTTGTTCAGCATGGGGGTGAGTAGAAAATGAAGGCTAATCATGTTTTGGGTGTACTATTCCTTTAATATTGGAAGTTGGGTCCCCCTGATAGCGGCTGCGCCTCAAAACTTCCCTACCGGTTCTTTACCTGGGAGCAAGTGATTTACTACTCTTAACTCAAACTGGGTAAAACCATAGTAAAATAGACTATAATATATAATATAAACTATATGTAAAACAACTTATTATACAGCTTAGGGCTTTTAGATTAACTTCAGTGTTGAAGATGTAGTGACATCTAGTGGCCAAAATTGTGATGTGAAATTTTATGTTTCTTTTGATTTCTAATGTTCTTGTAGATTTTGTCATTATGAAATCTTTGTAAATGCTTAAATGCTTTCTAAATAATTAAAAAAGAACAGCAACAGAGTAAAATAAAATGTCACATTTGTGGTGATTTGTGCTGTTTTTTGAAACGCTGAGGGCACTAGGGGGGAGTTTTGGGATGGGTGTTGCAATACGAAACGTATCAGGATACGATATACGATATATTGCAACATCACCATATCAAAAAACTTAAATGACTATGGAATGACGGTGACCTGGATGACTGAGAATCTTCATCAGCCATATCGCCATATATTGCGATATTTTTCCTGCTCTCAAAATTGTATGTATAGATAAAAAAGCAACCTGTGTATACGTTCATCAGATGATATTGATCGTTCAGTTGGTATCCATGTTGCTTGGGGTTTGAATCAGTCCACGTCTTCCACTGTGACTGCCTCAACTGCAGATATAGCGCTGCGCCGCACAGCTAAGGGGCTCCACAGCACTATCTGCCAGAGTTGCAGTACAAAGGTAGGCCATTTTCCTAGATGTTCGAAATCTGCCTGTTTTTCAGTGTAGTCCTGTTTCTCTGACTGTGACTGGCTGGATGTGCTCTCTTCGTCCTCTGGCGTAGGAGCTGGCTCGGAGCTCGTCTGTCTGTTTCCTGGATGGGGCCTCCTTTTACAGCTGCTTTTTGTATCTCTGCTTCTGTCTCCTTGAAGCCCAGTCGGCCTCAGCAGATGGCCGCTCACACTCAGCCTGGTTCTGCTGGAGGTTTCTTCCTGTTAAAAAGGACTTTTTCCTCTCCACTATCGCTACAAGCACGCTCGGTGTGAGGGACTAAATTCGAGTCAATGAGTCAATGCAATCACACTGCAAAAAATCTAAATCTAAATAAGTCATTTTTTCTTAAAATAAGTGTGCATTTGTTCTTGAATTGAGGGGATAAAAGAGACATTCTGCCAACGGAACAAGACAATTTAGATTTAAAATAAGAAAACACAATTGCATTGTTTATTTTCAAGTGACTATTATCTAAGTATCTGATTTTAAGAGTAAAAAGACTGATTCCATTGACAAACTATTTCATTTACCTACTTAAATCAAGGGTAAATACACTTAATTCAAGAAATTTTTAATTATTTCTAGATTGTTTTCCAGTGCAACTGGTTTTCCTTAGATAGAAAACTTTGAATCAATTTGACTGGATCATCTGGTGAACTTTAAAGTGCCTTGAGATTAAGTGTTGTGAATTAATTTATATAAATGTTGTTTATATAAATAAACTGAATTAAATTTTCCCTTAGTTTAAGTAAAAATGTTTTACTTTAAAAGAAATCAATACTAGGAACTAAAAGATCGATATATCAGGCAGCCACAAAATCATGATATATTGCCAAAAACATTTTTTCCACACCCCTAGAGGACACCCAGTACTTGAGGGCCCCATTGGTGCCCTTTGAGCACCACGTTGGTGACCCCGCGTCTAAAGACTATCAGTAGTCAAATGATGTATCCAGTTGATACAGTAATCGGCATTGGTATTAACACGTAATAAAAGGTAGATGTCCTGAACTTGAAACTAAACGTTATATAGAAGGTCTCCTGTCCTAACATGACTATGAAGCTAATCCCAGTGGGAA